TTTTTCTCCTCTCACGCATGATATGCATCTTCTATGCTGTGCATTACAAATTCCCTGGGATGTTAGATCAGGAACTTCATTGATATTGTAACGAAACAAACCTCCAAGTTGGTCAATATCGGTTACAATGGTAGGAGCATATCGTGCGTTCTTAGCATTACCACCTACAAATTCCAGTTAATTAAGCAAATTTATAACACGTGAATGTTTTAAAAATGTAATTTACTTAAAATAACACCTTTATTTGGAGCAATCAACGAAGATGAACCTTTTTTCTGAGGACGCCCAAGCTCACGTTTCATTTTTTCTGGTGAATAGAACGAACACAGAAAAAAAAATGTGTGATCTAAATACACAGTCATTAACAAACTATATATATATATATGTTATATTACGGGATAATGCAAAATATATATTTTAGCTTCTTATAATAAAATAAGATTTTGGTAATAAAAAGAATTTCGAAATAGAAAACCTCACGATAATGTTAACATTACTTATTCTTCGCGATAATATGCCTATCTTCTCTAATGAACCATAATACTCCAATATCGAAAATTTACATTTTTCGTGATAATGTTAAAATACTATTGAAATACTTCTACATTACAATAACGCGGATCTATAAATAATTATTTATTACTCCAAATATGCAGAGTTAATCCTAAAAATATACCTCTACTTTAGAACAAATATATTATCCTAATGTTTTTACGAAAACCGAAAAGACTATCGTTATATTTCTTAGAAATTGAATATTCTCCCAAAAATATGGTTATTTAACATATCATCTCAATAAATTATATCACATTTTTTTTTTTTCGTGGACAATTATACTACAATTCGTTACGCAAGCGTTTTGGGGATAACTATGAACATCGAAATCCATACATGAAAATAATAATTAAAAATCTTATTTTCATACACTGCGTCAAAAGTCAAATTTTATTCAAATCACATACGATGTTTAACACAAACCACAAAACCTAAAAATAAAAATTGATATAAAATAATTCCAAAAACATTAGCACGGAACTCGTAACATCAGGGTCTAACGACTAGATATCAACTCTCGAAACTGATAGACCTCGAAGCATGGCGAATTTAGAATAACTTGTGTGCAATCATACGACGTAGTTGCCAAGAAACACCCTGTATTATCGAACAAACGAAAATCAAATCATATTTATCTCATATACTTTACAACCATCTCACATCAAAAAAAAAAAAAAATACCTCGTCGAACAATTATCTTCGCAAAACGAATGATGCAAATAATGACATCTTGTTTAAATCCACCCAACTCACGAAGAAAAGTTTCAGCATATTCACCTTTCAAAAAACATGATAAACGTCGGTTCCTAAAATTTCCCATCAAACAAATATCAGTCTGAGTTAAACTTAAAAATTTGTTTTTTAAAATTCTATTAACATAAAATAGATTACCTTTCGTTTTCGAGATCGAATCTTATTATAGGCTGTCTAGAGTATTCTAAGGATCCAATTCTATCGTGAGAGTTTCCAACGTTGACAACCTTACCGATTAAATCTGTTTTAAAAAAAATGAATATCAAATAATCAATATAGTAATTGCATGACAAATCGATAATGAAAAATACACAGAATACTCACCCACACAGTAGTTAAAATCAATAGTCCTATTCATAATATCTTCGAAAACAACGAACGAAAAATAACCATTGATATCTAAAGTATAAGAGCTTGCACATGTTGTATCACTGGTAAGTTGGATCATATAAGGATGTGTACTTGGCTTAAATTCACCAGTAAGAGGCAATAGATTAAAATTTATTAGAAGAACCCAATCTCCCTCGTTACATATCCTCGAATACTTATCATAAAATTCAATCGGTGCAGTTACATAAATCTTCTGTCCCTGAGAAGTATGGAATCAAACATTCAGACATTTATCATTACAAAAACTAAAATATAATCATGAAATTGATGTGTTATACCTTCCAATCCCCCATTATAAAGTCTAACGTGCGGTCACATTCAGGAAATCTTTTAAATTTACGTAAGACTTTCAACTTAGTCTTCCATATATGCTTGGTAGGATCAAGTTCGGAAATTCCAAACAGATTTTGATCATATTTTTTATATACGGTGGCGATAGATAGTAAATAAGCCATTTAGGTTAAACGCAAACCCAGAGCCTCAAAACAATTACAACGATTACGTCCAAAGGTAACTTAAATAAACATAGCAGAGACAATACTTAAACTAAACTTTTGTTTCTTATTTATACAATTTAAAAGAAAATGATATATCAAATATTTTACATTTTTGAGATACCTTAATGCTTATTTTACATTTTTAGGATAACATACGACCTTGATAGAAATTTTATCATGATCACAGGGATACCGTTTCCGATTTGTATTAGGGATCTATTATAATTATAACAATTTTCCAATTGGTATTAGGAATATATCGGAAGTGAGCCATTTGCATCGTTATATATAAAAACGATGTATTAGCATTACCGAGTTATATATGACGACTACTTTTTAGGTTTTATAGGCACTACATCATGTCGATCGCTGCTTGTCTTTTAGCAATGAAAAACATGACTTACACCAATGTCTCCGATATAACTCCATCAAATCAACTACGCCGTATTCGTGTGAAAATACTGCGTATGTTCGAGCACATCGGTGAACCTGATAACACTTTAGATTTGGTGTTGGTTGATAAAAAGGTATTCCGGTGACTTTATATTTTCCGTGCATATCACGTCTCTGATATACATATATTTTTTTTAGGGTGATAAAATACATCGATCAATATCAAAAGGGTTTATAGACAGTTTTACATCAGAAGTGAAGCAAGGAAATTACCGTTTTGGTGTAGTCCCTGTCATCGGAGACTTGAGGCCGACGTTGCACAATTATAAAATAATATGGAATTCTCAAACTTATTTTTCAAAGATCCCTTACTATGATAACAACAACTACCTAAGTATTGTTGAATTTGGTAACATACACAACAATCTCCGAGACCCATTGTTTTTAGTTGGTATGACTTTAGATAAATTAATAAATAATAAAAAAATATATATGCTTTTTATATCTATAAACTTTCTCAATGACTAACTAATCTTTTTATTAGATATAATTGGACACGTCGCAGTGATTGGAACATTTAGTCACAAATCCTCCAAAAGCCAAAGAAAGTGGGGTAATGTTTACATGGAACTCCGTAACGAATTGTAAGTTTTTAAAATATGTTTCTCAATTGCAATCACTGTAATTATCAATTTTTACTACATTATATGATTATAATATGCCCAACAGAGATGCTATATTGCAAGTGTTATTACGGAACGACTATGCACTGGACCTGATGACTGCTTTATCACGGAAAGAACACAAAATTAACATTTGTGTTATACGTTTTGTGCAACTGTTCAAATTTGCACATGGTTGGGCAGCGATAACTGCATACGATTGGACCGAAATTTTATTAAACCCTAACCTACTCGAAGTCGAGAAAATGCGGACCACAATCACAGAATCAGACGATGGTGTTATATTAAGTTTTTGAATAGTTTCTTTTTTCGTATGTTTGGTTTTCTTTTTTATTTATGTTTTCATCATTTGACTCAATAAACGATGGTACTATATCAAAACTCTCCTCATATTATTCTTTTCGTATACATTACTTTCTTCAATTTCTAAAATATAGGTTTATTATATATATGCATATTTATTTTCCTAGTAAAATATTATAATACTTTTAAATCAATAACGGTATCAATGGACTATGAACACAATTTTGCATTGAAAACAAAAAGTGACACTCTTTGTAAATCAATAACAATACGCTAAAACGAGATGCTTTGTGAAACAGGTGAAGTTTATAGATATTGAATAATTTATTTATTAAAATAAAAATAAAAAATAGCTATGTTGTTCAAGTACACAACCTATAAAAAACGAAATAAAAATTTAATATCTCCTACGGATACTGATCTTCATATCCATCATCCAAAGGGGTAAAATCAACTGAAGTTTCAAGCCTGGAACAATATGACAATATTATAAAATCATAAAATAGATGTCAATAGAATACATATACAGGATATAACATCAAAGATGGAATTTACATACCTCATCTTTGCTATTGCCACTTCTGGAGTAGGAGGATCTTCGAGAATATCAGATATAAATCTTTCCGATTCAACTATCCACTCATCTAATTACATATACATATTCAGTATGCATGTGGAAACAATAAATTTGTTAAACTTCTGATTAATTGCCGTATTGAATAGATATTAATAGTTAATATTTACGTACCTCTCCACCTATTGAAAGAGAAAAATCGCAATACAATAATATGTCTTGAAGACCTATCACGATTCGTCCAAAGTTCTTCAAATTTATTGCCAAGTTATCCCAAGCAATACATTTCAAGGAATTTCCACTGTATATATTTACACCAACGTAGAAGATAATTAACATATTTTAATATATCAAGAAACCCAAGTCTGACACCAGATATTCTGAGGATAAGTTGTACTTACCCGAGATCTTCGAGTACAAAACGAATAAGTGGACGTTCTGTGGGTGTATCCGATGTATCAGACATATTAACTCCTCTTTGAAGTTTCTGAACAAAAGTGACAATCCCGAGAAGATCAACTGCAAAACTAAACAACTAAGTTAGAAAAAACTCATTTCTCAGTTAATGAGAAAAACCAAGATAATAACATGCATGTAAGAAACTTACCAAGATATCGGTCTGTTTGAATCGACGCAAGCAAAATATCTATGAATGGACAGAAAGAGTATATTTCTCTGGAAGACTTCGGATCGGGTTTTCTCAGTGATTGTATCCTCGTTGATACGTATATGACAGTAGTTTGATGATATACTTGGATGTGGTAATCTCTCGGTAACTGCAAAATTACCAAGAAAATACCACTCTCCTTCGAGCAATACATACTCGAATTTGTCAAGTATTTCAAATGGCATGGTACACAGGATGCGATTGTCCTACACAGTTTTAGTAAAAAAGAATCAATAAACGATTACATTCCCAAAACATGAACATGGATAATCTTTTAAAATCTTATAAACTTACAAATTCATCAGCGAGAACTAACATCCGATTAGGACAACCAATGAGAGTAAAATCATAATAACTTCTAACTACTTGGACACAAATACGTTGCCTGCTGTTTGTCTTCTGAAGTTCAGAAACTCTATTACATGGAGACATTCGTTGTTTTTATTTAGTTTGGAGATGAAAGATGATAAAAATGAATGTTTCTTTT